AGGCGAAAAACCATGAACGACCAAGTGCTGGCAATCGCAAGGCACATACGAGCTCTCGGCATCAGCTCAAGGTTCTGCTGAGCTGACAGGAAGAGCCCATGACCAATGGGGGGGGGGGGGGGGTAGCAGAGCAGCCAGAGTGCCCCGGCCGATTAACAAGTGGGGTTTTCGTCGACAGGAAATCTGAGACAATCTCTCTGAGAAAATGGGGAAACCCAAGTAAGGCCTGTGTCTACCTGACATCACCTGAACCTAGCATCATTTACGTCATTCCCTGTCAGAAAACGCATTCTTTTCTGTAAACTAAAATCGCAATACCGAGCCTCAGCCCCTGGCTGGCGTAGAACTATCATACCATCACGCTGGGTAACGATGTTAAGTTGCATGGCATTATGACGACGATGAAAAATGTTCTGATTTCAGTTTGAATCCATGTCTTCGAGGAAGATCACATGCCTAACAGTGCTGGCGGAGAAGTAGTACATTGATAACACACGATTTTGCCTTGTGTGGGTACGGTGGGCAGCAGCACCATTTACCGCACCTATTCTTCTTTTATAGAATGCAATATTTACCGGCAGTATGATTCTGAATCGGGTATGCCAAGAAAACAATGCTTTGGAATGTGAAATCTGTTAAGCCATTTCACGCATCAACTAGCATGAGCCCCCAGCTGCCTGGTGCTGCTACCCCCGCACCAGCCCAGCATGACGTCGCGGCTGGAGGGCGCTAACCCACTGCGACCTGGCCAAGTCTAGCTGGCCCTATGCTGGCCGACCTGACTGGACTTACCTGACGCTCTGTTGGCGGACCTGGCCGGGTTTGGCTAGCGTTTTGCTGGCTGACCTGGCCGGGTTTAGCTCACGCTCTGCTGGCCTAGTTCAGCCCGTCTTCCGTGTTGCTCGGAGGAACGTATCATCATCCCGGGGAGAGCTAGAGTGCCACCATCTGGTGGCGACCAGGCGAAATTTGAATGCGGTGAAGTGCCGCACGCCATACAGATCCTCCGTGACCCCGCGGGTTCACAGCGTAGTGTGTCACACTCGGTGAAAACATCGGGATAGCCGTGACTGCGGCGTCACGTGGATGGACAGTGAAAATCGGTGTCCACAATCGTTGGGAAATAGCGTCCTCCGGGGTATTTCTGTAACCCCCCCTCCGCGTTCGCAGCGAAGCTAATTCTATTGTTTGGATATCTGGACTCAGCTTCCAGCTTGCTCCACCAGCGCACTGCAGTATCTTGTCATTACTTATACTGTGCTACAAGACTGAATGTATGGTGGATCTGTTAGAAGTAGGGAAACAACAGGTCGGTTACAATATAAAGAGAATATTCCACATACGAATATACTGATACAACCATTAGACATGATGAAATAAACTCACCTATAACTACAGGTCTACTTTAAGTGGAGAAGACCGCTTTAGAGAACAGCAGACTAAGTGGAAAAGATTGCTCTTGACAACACTTCAAAAAATGTTCCTCAATGCGTCGTTGCTTGTTTGCGGTATCGCAGGGACCCCCGCACAACATTGATTGAGAGCCAATTGACCGCTGTTATATTTGGGAAGGGCACTCACGAGGGCCAGATATGAACAACTGGAAAATCATATATTTCTTGGCTTTGATTGCCACATGGCCAATGGAATGGCAAGATTTGAACAACGTTATTATGGCGTCATGGATGCCTGGGTGACCTTGAGGCGGTCTGCACGAGATAAGCAGCGCACATTCGCATGCGTGTAGCTCAGAAACAAGACGGGTTTAGGTCTAAAGTAGGGCAGGGCCCGGATCTGCACCGAATAATCTTCAAGCTGGCTATTTCAGCTCAAAACCCCACGCAAATGTGAAACACTCCCTTTGGCGGTGGCGCGGTGCGATCCCAGGCGATGTAACAGCAGACGACATCCGCGTTGACTTTGACAGTCAGGTTTTGTTTACCCTCTCCACGATGGTTTGCGACATGGTCCTGCCAACAGTGACTCAAGAATTTGGGCATGACGTCAACGTAGGTCTTGAGAGTATAGGTCTCCTGGGCACGGGTCGTGAGGGCGTAGATCTGCTGGGCGTAGGCCCAATGGGTGTAGTCAACGTAGGACAGTGAACGTAGCCCTCCTGAGCGCAGCTGTCTCGAGTACGTATGTCTCAGCCAGGCGTAGGTCCTGTAGGCGTAGGTCTTCTGGGTGTGGTTGTCAATGACATAAAGACATCTGGCTACCAGAGAGCCACAATGGTCCACCGAGGTTGGCCTACCTGGGTTCCGCACGCATCCTCGAAACTAATCTTGTCACCTAAACTGCCCGAATTTAACTGCTGTGAACATAGGCGTTTTGTAGTAAGCATTTAGCTGTATGTTGTGAACGGAAGCGTTATGAACGTAAGTTTTGTGAGTGAAAGTTTCCTGCGCATAGGCTTTCTGATCGTAGGTCCTCCGAGCTTTGGTTTTGTGAGCGTAGGCCTTGAGGGCACAGGTCTCCAAACGCCTCGCCAGCTAATTAAATTCGCCCTTTTACGGCCCTCCTGAAATAGTAGCACAATAGCTGCGCGGCTGAGACATTTGATAGCTGGGTTCTGTAAATGTGCATTTTGCTATGTTGGGGAGGGTAGTTTTGTTGTTTTATTGATTATCGCTGGTATGGCATAGGATGGGATCCGATGGAGGTGCTTTAGCAGTAAATGTACGTTCAGTTTATTGTCGAAGAATTTGTGACACCAGCGGGGTACATATACACCGCGTGCTGTCCGCTTGTCGGCGTCGCAAGGTCTTTGGTATTCATGACCCCTGTCTTCGGGGAATCCCAGTTAAATAAATGTGGCTCCACCTCATAGATCACATGTCTATCAATGATATATCACATTTTCACATGGCTCAGATTTGATGCAAGACATTTGTATTTGCTGCCTGTTATGATTGCTTGGTCAGCACTTTATAATGCCAAAAAAATGTTGTTTTTGGCATTGTGCAAAATCAATCAGTGACATGTTACATGTTCACATGGATAGACTTTGGCACAATACATTTGTATTTTTTGTATTTAATTATTGCTTGTCCAACACTTATGTAATGACAACAACATTTTGGAGGGATTGTGTGAAATCACCCTGCCTTAGCAATGCATTGAAACCTTTCTGGTACTTGCTGAACACTGTGGCTGAAATGTAAGAACAGTGGTTTGGTTAACTGCATTAGTGTTTTAAATGGTGTATGTCATGACAGAGGCTGTGATCAAATCAAGCCAAAAGCTTAAGCCATCATAATGCATGTGGCTGAAGAAACCAGCCACAGATTCTGACTGAACCCCCCCCCCCCCCCATCCTTCAAATAAATAGGAAATCGTACAACTTCCCATGCATCAACTGTAGGTTTTGATTCCATATATGTGCAGACCACAGCCTTTAGCTTTTTGATGTCTCAAGCTCTTTAGCTTGATCTGCTTGCAGTCTGTCATGCCTTGCACCATTTGGAGTGTTAATGCAGTTGTCCGTACCATTGTTTTTATTTGCATTTCATTTGCAGTCCTCAGTGGGCATTGGAAGACTTGTAATGTATTGCTAAATCAGGGGGATTTTACTTAATGCCCAAAACAATATTTTGGCATTATGTAATGTTGGCCAAGCAATTATAATAGGTGATGAATCAATGTGTCAAGCCAAATGCAACCCGTGTAACATTGCAACATGCCCTTGATAGATATATGGCCTGCTGAGGTGGAGCTGTCTTCATGCTAGGATTGGTCTTAGCAAGCCACAATATCATTATTAATAGACATGTTTGCATTTGGGGGGGGGGGGGGGGGCAGTTTTGCTCAGGTGGATGCCCTGGTAGCTCCCACATGTTTTTTTATTGTAATTGTGTGATGTAGCACTAGTGACATATGAACACCACAGAATGTGAAGGAGATTCAACTTCTTGCTGCAACTGATCATTTCCACCTTTTGTTGCCATATTGAGCCTTCACAGAATGAGAAGGGGCAGGGTTGGGGTTGGGGAAAGGCATAGTCACCTACCGCCTCCCCTGGCCTCATGGTTATTTGCTGTATTATAAACAACTGAGCAACAGGTCCTTGTTCCACATTTCCACAGGTTACCTTTTGGCATGGTTATGATATATTGAAAACTTGATGTCTTCCTTTTCTGCATCTCACTTCTTGCTGCAGTTCCTGTTCTTAGCAGTCTGACAATTTTTGTTAGAGAACATGTCATGTGCCTATTGAGCTGTGTCTTATGACTGATGTCATCCTTACAGCCAGTTAAATTTATCTCCTTTTTTACAGACTGCAGAACACATCACCTCCAGCCCCAGACTGCAGTGTTTTTAATTATTACGCTCAAGTTGGGCAGTATTGCCCATGTGACCTGTTAGGCTCTCTGGGGAGTTGTCTGGGTGCAAAGTGAGGAATACTGCTGTGCAGAGAAGCACCTTTGGAAACTGCATGGTGGTACTGGGACAACTAGGTGCTGCTGAGTCAAGGTGGTACATGTCTGATCAGAACTGCAGCACAACACACCTCCTATGTGGGTGGCTCATCCCCACCCACTGTGAAGCACTGACCATTGAGGAGTAACTGAAGTGCACCATTGAAGTGGCCATACTCTACCCAGCACCACAAAACCTTCCCCAAAATCGCCGTAGCGGTGCCCTCGAGGGAGTCAGCATCGACCATTTCAAACCTCTGAGCGCCACCGTGCTGCAAGGGCCCGCAGCCCTCCCAGCAGTGCTGGAGCGCGGCGCGCGCGCCCACCGCCATGACCTCCCACTGGAGCGACCCGTCGCTGGCCACGGACGGCGGCGGCGTGGCGCCGGCCACCGCTCGCCGCCACTCGCTCCTCACGCCGGCCGACCTGGAGTCGGAGGCGCCGCCGCCGGCGCCGTCCGCGCCGCTCCCCACCGTCGAGTGGGGTGGAAGCCTGGCTGAGCGGCTGCCTGCCGGGCCGCGACGGCGCCGAGACGGCGTCGACGCGGCGCGCCTCGGCCGCCGCCGACCCCGACGCCGACGCCACCGACGCCGACGAGGTGCGCTCAGCCAAGAGCGACAGCGTCTGCTACCAGCTGCAGCCCATCGGCGTCTTCTGGGACATCGAGAACTGCCAGGTGGGACGGCGGCGCGGCCGGGTCCGCGCAGACCGGCCCGGCGAGCGGGCGGCGCTGATCTCAGCAGGCGGGGCGGACGGCGCCGGATGGATCGCCACGTGGTCGTCCTCTGTCGCCGCGTCTACGGCAGTGGTTTGGCAACTTCCGGCCTTGGGTCGTGCACTGCTCCCCGTTTTCCGTCGGATTATCCGTTGTCTGGACTGTGCTGTTCTTTTCTTGCCTCTCGTCGCTGAGAAGCTGAAAAGTCGCACCGCCGCAGGCGGTCAAATGATGACAACAGCCACCCTCGTCATTGTCACCCTGTGACACCTGCCTGGCCGTTCCCTGTGACGTCATCCGAGTCTCCCATTGTAGCGCACGCTGACAGCACCGCCATTTTTGGCGGGCCCGACCTACCCATATCCACCCGGCCCGTCACCGGGTCTCTCCCGAACCGCAGGTGCCCCGCCGCTGCTCGGCCGCCGACTTCGTCTCGCTCATCCGGGAGCAGTTCTACACCAACTGCTGGGAGGCCGAGTTCATGTGCGCGTGCGACGTCAGCAAGGTGTTCCCGCCGTCACTGCAGCAGCTCAACGACGCTCAGGCAAGCGGTCGGGGCGCGAGCCCACCGCGCAGAAATACTGGCGGATCCGGAGATTCGGACCCGGAGATCTGGATCCGGAAGTCTGGACCGGAGATCCGGATCTGAAAATCCGAGATGTGAACGTCCGGGTCCAGAAATCCGAGATCTGGAGATCCTAGATTTGGAGATTACATAGAGAGGGATGGAGAGGAGGGGGCGAACTGGGATGTCAGGAGGGGGAAAGACAACGTGGGTGGGCTAGGTTTTTTGGGCCACTACTAGGTTGCCGATGACGTGCGCAAAACACTTCTCCGAGATTGCGTTGGAGGTGATGTTGCCAAAAAGTGATACGTTTCTACCGAAAAGCGAACAAAATGTGTCAAGATATTATGCAATGGTGCTGGATATAAGTACAAGGCTTATTAACACGTGAACGCTAAGGTACAAACGCATATGGTCTCAAGGGATGTGCGTCGGTTGATTTGCCAAGGTTTCGTTAGAAAGTACGGACGTCGACCCAAGTTCGTGAGCAGGTAACTGCGGCATTGGTTCACACAATATACGTGTCTGCTGGTGCTCGTGGCCCACATGTCTGGCATCGCGCGCTAGATGCACGTGACACACGTGTCGCACGCCCTCTCGCGCCAGGTGAACGTGATGCACGTGCCGGCCACGAGTAAGAACGCCGCCGACGAGAAGGTGAAACAGAGCCTGCGCCGCTTCTCTGACCAGTACCCAGCGCCGGCTACCGTGCTGCTCATCACAGGCGACATGAACTTCGCTCCCGATCTCACCTTCCTGAAGCACAGGTGAGATGCATTCGATCTCACCTTCCTGAAGTGCAGATGAGATACACTTGATCTCATCTTCCTGAAGCACAGGTTAGATGCACTTGATGTCATCTTCCTGAAGCATGGGTGAGATGCACTAGACTTCACATTGCTGAAGCACAGGTGAGATGCGCTCAATCTCACCTTCCTGAAGCACAGGCGAGACCTCACATTGCGCCTCTCGTGGTGAGCGACACGCGTGGATGACACACACGCCGACTTCACCATCTTCAACGCCAGGTGCGGGCCCCGTCCTCTGCACCTCATGTTCCTCAAGAATGTGTAACGCCCAGGTCCATTCGATCTGAACCCCCTCCCCGATACGGACGAGGTGCCCCATCACACCCGTCACTCCTTCTTGCGCTCCCTGGCATCGAAGAACGTTCGTTGGCGGGATTTATCAAAAAATATCTATCGGCTGAGTTTGTGCTTTATCTCCATGGCATATTGCCCTCCAGACTTTTTGCCAGTATTTTGTTTGTTTTGCGTTGGGAATGGACCCTTTACAATAAGCAACTATGGCCATTAGCTCAACCATCCACAGCGCCTGTTTTGACCAGAGAGTTTGGTGTGTCCAAGCCTCGAGCCTTCCACCGCTCCACCTTCCACCCTTCTCAGCTGTAGTGTTCGCTGACCCGGTGAGCCGGGGGGGGGGGGGGGGGGGGGCGGTGGGTGCCGCGGCGTGTCTGCCCGCGCCCCACTGACCGTCCGACTCGGCGGCCGTGCGTTGCAGGAAGAAGCACAGGGTCATTCTGATCCACAACCGGCAGGCGCGGCCGGCGCTGCTCAACTGCGCCGACGAGCGGCATCAGTTCGACGACCTGCTGGCGCGCCTGCCCGACGTCCGACAGCAGGTCAGGTCGGGTCAGGTCGGCCGGCACCCGAGGGTCGGGTAGGTCAGGGCACGTCCTGTGGCGGGTCAGGTCAGGGAATGTACGACATTGGGTCAGGTGGGGTCATCGGGCGCCCGAGGGCCGGTCAGGTTAGGGGACATCGGCGGCGGCTGAGGCCGGTGTACTCTTGATAGCAGGTCAGGTCGGGGGACGTACCCTGGTAGTATCAGGTCAGCGGACACCTCATATGTCAGGTGATGTCAGCAGGTCACACCCGACGTATTGTCTGAAGAGCTTCGTTTCCGTGGTTCACCGGGTGGGCCATAGGTTAGGTGGTGGTTAATAAACAGGTCGAGGTCAGATAATGGAGATGGAGGGAATGGAAACCAGTACAGATGCTTGAAACCAAAAAGCTAGAATGGAAACCAGTTTGGCTTCGGTGATGATTTGGCCTGTATCACAATAGGTGAGTGTGTCGAAAGCTGTGCCATTTATCAGCCCTTTCTTACGGGCGTCAGCACACATTCAGTTCACTCTCGGCTGTGGATGGGCTCTGTCGTACGTCATCATTCGGTGACCTGTGGTAATGTCTGCATCCGCCGTTGCTCACTGGTCAACATGCTTTTGCGCTGGGATCCTGCAGACCATCCGTTTGCTATCGCTTCTCTCCTTATTGGCTTCAGCCGCAGTAGGTTTGACTAAAATGCAGATTAACGGCTGGCAACAGTCACTGTACATTGGGCGCTGGCGCCTAATCCATTTATCGACGTTTTCACCATTTTTTAACTCTGGCCACCACGTGCCATCTTCTTATGTCCGTTGCACGCCAAATTAGTTATTTCTTTGGTGACTTTTAAAAGTGAAATAGCAATGTTCGCTCCTCTGAGATGGTGTGGTTAAGTATGTAGACCATTTATTATTTTGCAATATTATTTTCATGCATTTATCAATTCTTTTACATCATAATTTTGTTACTGGCAATATATACAGTATACTAATGTTTAATTGGCAAATATACGTCAGTTGATATGCGTAATGCTACGTTCCTTTACATGCCGTGCACATTTGTTCGTTTATATGTTATATCTCATGTTTTCAACCATTTTACATTTGACGCAATATGTTGCATCTTCATTTGTTTGTACTGTTTGTGTCATGTATGCTATTTAGATTGGTTTACTTAAGCGTCATCAATGTATATGGCTGGTCGCATAACCCAGAAGTCGAGAGCCTGTACACCGACAGGCCGCAGCCCGAGAGCGCGGCCGTGCCGTGACGCGCCGCGTGCACCCGCCGCAGGAGAGCCGCGGCGGGGACCGACTGTGCTGCCACCTGCGGCTGACCGGCCTGCCATCTGGCGGCGCCGGCCGCAAGTCCAAGGTGGTCAACGAGATCCAGAAGCTCGTGTACAACTGCGGCGGCCGCGTGGAGCGCGTCAACCTGACGGCCGGCGACGCTATCATTGTTTTTCCGTCGCCTGGCAACGCCGCCAGGTGAGCTGGCCGCGCGCTGCGGCGGCCGGAGACGGCGGCTGCGTGGCCCGGAGGCGGCGCGCGGCCAGCGCCGCCTCCGGGCCGCGCTGGACGGGTGTGGCTCACTCCGCGGAGGGCGTGGCTCCGGTTACTGCCAGGAGTGGCGATGACGATGAGTGCGCGGAGGGCGTGGCTTCCGGTTATAGCCGGGAGTGGCGACGGTGATGAGTGCCGGGGGGAGGGGGGAGGGGGGGGGGGGAGGTGACGTGACCCCGGTTAAAGCCAAGAGTGGCGACGGTAATGAACGCAGCCGCTACAGAGGTCCTTAAACAGTTCCGCAGCTCTACTGCGGGCATGGGTCCGCACTGTTGTGGAGATCCTGTATGCCACGGGTTCTCCGCAGTGGGGACCGGACGCAGTAGCTATGGGGGGATATGGCGTGACGTGACATGACGTGACCGTGACCGTGACATGACTTGACCGCGACCGTCACGTGTCGTGGCCGTGACGTGAGGTGATGTGACGTGACCGTGACTTGGCCGTGACGTGACCGCGACGTGACGGGTCACCGGCTGTGGAGACAAGACGTGATGACTTGCACTCCTCTCTCTGGCAAATTATTTCCGGAAAATGCGTGGATGATCACACCCTGGCGCAGCAGTGGTCAGCAGTGGGAACCAAGTACGATTTGCTTTGCTGTTTACGTCATGACGTAGAACTCCTTTTTATCGTGCTCTTCTGCGCTTGACTTCAGAAGGTATTCGACTTCAACTCGACGGAATAAAGTGTCAAGTAAGGTATTCGCCCTTCTTTGGGTGACACGAGCGTGACACGAGCGCCCCGGTGTGATACCAGCTGGGCATCATTTGTGACAAGGAACGTACATCTGTAAAATCAATTTGTAGATGCTCGGGGACGTCAGGGCCGGGTGGTTCGCGCATCGGACTCTCACATGGGGGTCCGGGTTCGAATCCCGCGGGCTGATCCGGCTTGCCTGCGCCACTGTCACTGAGCACTGTATGGCCAATGCAGCCCCTGGCGCTCCATAAAACGAACGCGGAGACGTGCGCCACGTTTTCGTTTAAAAAAAAACCGTACGGAGGATGGTGTACGCGGGCGGCTTTGAGATAGCGGAGCTTCCGCCTACGGTGCATCGGATGACGCCGTTCACGACGCACTAGCTTAGGCTACGTGACGTCGCCTGCCTCTCAACCTGGCAGAAAGGGCGGACACCGAGGGGAATCGAACCCCGTACCTCTGGTTTACCAGACGCGCAAAAGTTCTCCGAAGGGTTTGGCTCCGGGCGTTTTAGCACGGTACTGACGGTCACCATGTGCCAGGCTGGCCGACCCTGTGCTAGTGTCAGCTGACCTTTCCGTGTCCGTGTTTCCAAACAGTCTTGAGCATAGGTAACGGCACTGAAAGCGTCAATTCCGGTGGTTTGATATGGTGGTGCCCTGGGAGTAGAACATTGCATCAGTTCTTACAGTACCGAAATATTCCTTTTTAAATACCCAAAGATAGCTCGGGAAAGCTTTTGGTCAACCTCCGCCGGCATTAGCTCGCACTGAATCAGATCACCTACTTTGCTCCAGTTGTATAGTTTGCGCGTTTGGTTGCATCATTGTAAATGCTCTGACAGCTGCGGCTGTAGCATGGAAACATGCTGTGGCCTAAACGCGTTAAATAAACGAAGAAAAGGGATTGAGTGTACGAACAAAGTTAAACATAGCACGCACTGATTGTTTGCATAATGACTTGTCGCTCCTGGGGTTATTGGTGTGCATTGAATGAGTCAAGCTTTACAGTCGCGGATATGTCTTTAGTTGGACGGCGTCGAAGCGCTCGGAAGGAGCTAGACTTAACCAGACGAGGTCCCGGGACGGATTAACCCAGCGCCAGTCTGTTGCGGTCCGGACGGCGCGAACCCCACGCTTCTTGGTGGGAATTCCGCCCTTGCGTCGCGCGCGGCTCGTGATTGGCGCTGGCCATCCGGCGCCCGAGGCGCGAAAGGTCAACCCCCGCCGTGACCTCGGGGTCAGACAGTGTCAGGCTGGCGCGCACCGTGTCACTGGCGCTGCCCGCCGAGACCTGGCCCTGTTCAAGGCAGCCGCCTGCCTTGTGATTAGTGTTTTGGAGGTTTCCATGCGCTCGTAGAGGGCGTGGGGTTTAGCGTACGAGCTACGTTTTTGTGCCGGCCTGGTTCGGCGGTGGGTGGGCGCGCCGTTACCGACAGACATACCCGCGTGTCCTGGTGCGGGTGCGCCGCTGGTAAGTGATCCCGCGCCCACCTGTCTCGGCTCGGCAGTCAGTCCTGTGCTGTTGAAAACTGGATTGGCAGCTAGCGTGTTTAGTTTGCCGACACCGCTCCGCCCTGCCTCACGGTAGCAGCTTTTGAAGTGTCATTGTTTCCTCAGGTGTGTGTTGGATTTCAGGAGGATTGTGCTGTGTGTTGGATTTGGTTGCATTGTGTTGGATTTCAGGAATATAACGACCTGTGTTTTGTCGAAGAGAGACGGGGAGGGGGGGGGGGGGGAAGTCATGCGCCATATGTGAAGTTGATATGTCGCGGTGATGCTTCCATTACTATATTTTACATTGCTTAACAGCGCTATGGCTATGTGGATCGAGCTGTGCCTCATTTATGTGGGATATTGCTCACTTTTTACACGTTTCATCTTGTTATATTTATTAGATATCTCGTATAATTACATGTTTCTCATTGTCTTTATTTGTCGTTGTCATTTCAATTACATGTTGTCTCATTTATTCGGGAGATGCCTTTGGACTGGAAAGCTGTTTTTTTTAGAGTGCGTCTGATCATTTTGGAAAAACTGAAAGTGGGAAGTGTTTCCTGTGTAAAGAAAACGACTCTGTTCATTGGCATCGAGGAGGGATTTCCCAGAAAATCTCCGACGCTTTTCCTTCATAGCTCCTTTTTATATTAGCTCCTATATTACATGAGCTCCTTGAGTATGACGAGGAACGCAGCAACAACAAAAAAATAGGAGGAACGGGTATAAAATGATCAAAGTTGAGGGGATGGGGTAGGGTCGAGGGGCATTGGTTGGATTATGCAAACCAGTCGAAGCATCACGATTTAATGCATGCAACAGCCAATGCTTGTGCGGCATTCAACCTCCACCTGCGGTAGTATTATACAACGAACAATGAAAACGAAACGTTCCATAGTTGATGGATGGCTCCGTTTCCATTTTGGCAGTCTGCTTCCGGTACTCGCATTTCGCCTGTGTTAATTCATGATGATCGATGCTGGCGGTCCTGTAGCGTTGCTCGTTTAGTAGGCAATTGAACATGTCATGCCGGCGTGAGTTTATTCCGTATGGTCATCTGTGGTTTGATGACTTCCTCCCGCTACTTCCTTGTTTCTGCATGACAAATGTGTCCCTGCTTATTTTCGTATCGCCAATGAAAACCTTAATGGTCACACTTTCCCTGGGTGTTTCTTTTCGTCTCGTCAGTAAATTCAAATAAGTGAACGATTGCCCCTTATGGTAATGTTAAGATTCGTCTAGACAACGCCCTCTAGGCGCCTGGTGTTTCTGCTTCATCAGCGGGGCGAAGGTTGCCGCATGACGTCATGCCTCGATGACCGAGGCCACCTGGTCATCCACCTGACCTGGTCCACCGATAACGGCGCCATAAACCCATCTGTTGGTGTGGTGCTCGTTACATCCGCGTATTTCCCTGTATGTCTTGTTCTATGACGTCACTGCCGTTTGGTCATGCTCTATGTCAGTTCGCAACCCCAGCGTTACTCCCCCGCCATGTTTCTGCGTCACTGTTACCTGCTGTTTTGTTGCCTCTCTGTTGCCCGCTGTTTGCTGCCTCATTGTTGCCCGCTGATTGTTGCCTCACTGCTGCCCCGCAGTTTGTTGCCACACTGTTGTCCGCCGTTTGCTGCCTCACTTGCCCGCTGTTTGTTGCCTCACTGTTGCCTGCTGTTTGTTGTCTCACTGTCGCCCGCTGTTTGTTGCCTCACTGTCGCCCGCTGTTTGTTGCTTCACTGGTGCCCGCTGTTTGTTGCCACACCGTTGTCCGCTGTTTGTTGCCACACCGTTGTCCGCTGTTTGTTGCCACATTGTTGCCCGCTGTTTGTCGCCCGCCGTTGCCGCTGTTGTCCGCTGTTTCCGGCTGGCTGCCCTGCTGTGACGCCAGTGTATGGTGTAACCCAGGGCCAAGCACCGGCTACACCACGTGGTCATCTGCGGGTCTCAGACGTTCGTGCAGTTCCACTACAAGACCGGCCAACGTTCCCGGCCCAGCCGGCTCTCCTCCAGCGGCGGTGAGTCAGCCCTCTGGTGTTCAACCACAAGGGGGGACAGGGGGGGGGGGGAGGGGGGCTCAGCTAACCGACCGCCGGCGGGAGGGCGGCACGCCTTGGTCATTGTGCGTTCTCGTTTTACAATTGAATGACTGTAATTTGTGGCAGCAGTGGTATATAAAAAGAACCGTAGCATGACATACACGAAATAATTGAGATAAATATTCGAAGAGGAGCTGCAGATATTTGCGCAAGCTTTTTCCCCCAGTGGTATTGATGGCGGCTTTTACTGAGAAAACCATGTGAAGTGTAGTTTAATGCCCAGTGTGTCTTTTACTAGCAATCATGCCGTATATTTTACACCCGGTAGATGTCTCCCGAAGGGGTTCCCCTCAATGTTCTGGAATAATAGCCATGTGCTGGAGCAGCGCTGCCGCCGCCCGTACACTGGCTCACGCGCTGTGCGCGCGCCACCAGAGGTCGCCATGGTGCAGGAGAGCGGGCCGCTCTCGGCCGAGGGGCGGCCGCCGGCCACCGGGCCGCCACTGTGGTCCCCGGCGCCGCGCACGCGCAGCAGCTCCGTGTCGACGCAGACGTCGCCGGAGCCGGGCGGGCCGGCCGAGGCGGTCGAGTCGCGGCCCGACTCGGCCGCCTCGGTGGCCACCCAGACCTCGCCCGACGGCCGACTCACGGTCAGCAGGTGAGCAGCCGACCCGACCGCTCCGGTAGTGGGTGTGCGTGCCACTGACTAGGCGTGTGCACGCAGGCAGGCGTGCTGCGTACTTGCGCGCCCAGACGTTTGCCTCCAGGCAGCAGCAAAACTGCTCATATCCCAGGATTTAAGAACGGCTGTTGGCTTGGTCGTGGTTGTTTAGGCTGTTTGGGTCAGAGCCCTCTCATCAAGTCATAATCATTGTAGGGCTTTGGGATGAACGTGAGTGGATAACGGCATGTTCTCCCTCTGAAGCTGAATCATTCCAGCCTTCCTGCATTGAAGGGTGCCTTGCTAACTTGGAAACCCTCGAGGTCCTCCATTTTTTGGGCCAGGGTCTTTTCCAGCGTCAGCCATTGTCACTAAGTGAGACTTCCTTTGCAGCTTGGAGAGCTCCCCAAGTACCGACGCGTCCCCCCGTCCTACTGACCGAGCATCAGCACCTCGCCACGACCAAATCTTCAACCAAAGGTTCTCTGGTCATCCGACAGCCGGCGGTGGCGGCGGGCAGTTCGGATCGCCGCGGGGTGAGACTCTTCAGACGATCTACGTCATTTACTATGAAATAGCTTTGTCTTGTTTAGCTGTTAGTACTGATGATGCCTACTGATTTTGCTGTATGTTACTGACTTAGCTAGCATGGCATACATTGTGTGGAAAATCTTAGACTACCGAAGTTGAACATTGGGTTAATCTCTTCTATTGGATTTGCAAGCATGTTTGAGCCTTTTTTGGGTTAAGGGTGCCGACAGCTTGTCGTTAGCCTCGTATGAACGTAACATTATAGTATCCGAGAATGAGCCATGCTCATCTCTTTTGTGTACTGGGTAAATATTGCCCGAGTCAAGGTGCAAAATTGTCGAAAGTCAGTACAGAAAAATGGATTAGTTTTGCTCCATATGCACGAATAAAACATCTTGCCTTTGATATATTTTTATCGGCCGTTTGCTTATACGGTCTCAGTGAGGGGAACGTGGTACATTTGTAGTGTAGTGTGATTTTGGATGGCCATGTTTTTTACAAACCATGCTTAGTGATGGCCCTAAGGCTGGAGCTGCAAGTAGTAATTTTAAGTTTCGAAAATGTAGGGTTGAGTGCTGTGGAGCATATCAAAATGTTCAGTGAGTCCAAATAATGTAACATTTAAAGTCGTGAAGTGTAGCTCTGTTGCGCGCGAAATGCATTCCCGGCCGGCTTGTGCACTGATTGGTCATCCTCCCAATAACCCGTCTATAAATTCGCCGATCTGTCCGTGATAAGTGCGTCTATTGGCCGCCTCTCCGCCTGCCGTATGCTGATTTGGCCGACCCGCCGCCGGCCCGCGCGCTGATTGACCGACCCGCCGCCGGCCACGCGTTGATTGGCCGCCTCTCCGCCGGCCCCACGCCGATTGGTGGCCTCTCCGCCGGCCGCGCGCTGATTGGCCACCGTCTGTCCCGGCAGGCGGCCGCGCCGACCCGGCGGCGGTTATCCTGGTAGCGCGGCCTCCGACGCCGGGCGCGCGCGCAGTGCCGGGCCGCCCCTCCAGCGGCGGCGGTGGGCGCGCTCGCAGCGGCTCGCCTGCCGTGGGCGGGCCGGGCGGCCTGGACGGGCCCGTCGAGCTGACCGTGACCAACCTGGACGCCAGCCGCCACCCACGCGACGCCGAGGAAGGTCCTCTACGACCTGGCCATCCGTCACGCTAAGGTACGCTTCGCCGGCGGCGGTCGGGGCAGATGGTGCTGCTAGCACTGGTGCCTCTGCGCTGAGGTGAACAGCGGAGTGTCTCAGAACCGTGGCAGAGCTGTTGTCTGTCAAGGCGCGTCGCGACGTCCGAATCGTTTTCTGGCCAACACCCCTATTGTGTGATCGCTGAGCCGTCGCGTGACGTTATGTTAACACGATGCTCAATCTCGACCGTCCGTGTGCCATGTGCGGCACCATGGCCTCTGACGGTGCGTAACCCGCCCACCGGTACCTAAGGTAGAGGCGTGCTGGTGTCCTCTACAGTATCTGGTACACCATCCCCGCACGGGTGGACGGCGTATCGGTGTCCTGTGCGTACAGCCTCTGACGCATCAACCCAACGCATGCGGACGGCTGGTTCTACAGTCTCTGACGTGCCACCCCTGCCCGAGTGGATGGCTGGTCGTTTTAGTGTCTCGCACAGTCTCTGGCACGTGACCCATATCTGCACGTGCGCCGTATCGGTATCCCGCACAACCTCTGACCCGCCGCCTCTGCACGGCTGGGGGACGCGTCCGTGTCCAGTCCAGTCTCTGACACCCTGTCCGGCGCAGGTGGAGAGCGTGTCGGTGTACTGCCAGTCGGACGGCTCGCTGGTGGGCACCATCTCGGTGCCGACGCTGTACGACTCGCAGGCGCTGATCGCCGAGATGCACCGCGCCGTGGTGGGCACCAAGCGCATCATGCTGGCGTACGCCCGCACCGACCGTCCCGACCCGTACAAGATACGGTACGACCTCCCCCTCCGGGTACACCGGGTCGGTTCGCTGTGTGGATGTGGATGTGGATGTGTCTGCGTGTATGTGTGTGCGTGTGCGTATGGATGTGTGTGTGCGTGTGGATGTGGATGTGGATGTGGATGTATGATGTGTGATGTGTGATATGTGGACGGTCTGTTCCCGACAACAGGCCCCGTGTTGATTGGGCGGCTACAGCCCACGACTCGTGTCCTGGTCGGTCGTGCTCGCTGTGATTGGTTAAATGCTCCGAGGTCTTGTGACGATTTGGCGGCTATGTCCGCTGGTTGGCCGCTTGGTCTGCAACGCGCCCTCCGATTGGGCGGCGGTGTTTGTGACGCGCCCTCCGATTGGCGGCCTGCGGTCAGGACGCAGGTGATTCGGCTGCTGAACGACGTGCCATCGGGCCAGCTGCCGCTGGTGAAGTTCATGGAGCTGTACGAGCAGCGCTTCCACAACACCGTCTCCATCGCCGACCTGTTCAGGTCAGCGTCGCTTGGCGCGGCGTCTGCCGGCCCGCCGGCGGCACCGGTCTCCGCCTCGATGCCGTTACGACCCCGGCTGTCGGGCCTGCCCCAGCTGCTCGATGTTTACGAGGCTGGGGTGGCTGCCCGCCAGGCCCCGCCGTGCAGTGCGGCTCTTGGATTCACCAGTATTGCGTCGTTTATGAGGACAACGTCTTAGTTCGTTTTTTTGTGCGGGTTAAGCTTGTTTAAGTGTCTTTCGTGGCACTTCAATGCCATCTGCATTCTGTCTCGGTAGTCTATATGTATCCCCTGTTCTTCCGCATCGTATCATGCCTCAGTCTGGATGCTGGCATCACGCCATAGTCGCTGGGATTCCGTGGAATGGTTCGTGCCAGCCTGTGGTGCGGTCTCTTACGCAGATGTCCATAACATTGGGTGGTGTGCTATCTCTCACGCGCACTGTATTAGCTTGCCTAACAATATCGAGCCTGCTCACCTGTCGGTGTCTCAATATCGCAGCTATGTATTGTTTGCATTTCCCAAAGCGTTTTTCGCGATCGAACTACCAACGAATACTTTTTTCGAAAATTGTTCAGAGCCCTGTTTCTTACTGTCTGAAATTGGCTGCCACCGGCTATTTTAGCTGTGAACGCGCTCGATTCCTTCCTCTCTCTTCGATCGGCGATAGCTAGCATCCCTGCGCATGGGCGCGTGCTTTCTCCACTCTGCTCGACTCGTGCTCGCAGACTAATGCGCACCTGGTGCAACCAAGCTCCTAACGCCACCGGCGCGATGAGCTTTCGTTCCTTTCCTGCAGTACACCGGGTCGGTTTGCTGTGCTGCATAACATACCTCGTAGTATAACGCTTCTTCATGCGTTTCCATGCATTTAGGTTAGGTTTCCTGCAGTACACCGGGTCGGTTGCTGTGCAGCATAACATACCTTGCAGCATAACGCTTCTTCATGCATTCGGTTTTCTGGTGGCGGGCGTTTCTCACCTGCTGCCTTTGTTGCCTTTGGTGCGGACGGCGTTCGCGTATCCTAGAGCGGCACAGACTGCCCCCCCGGGGCGGGCAGTGCTACTTGACCATGCTGGCCGCCTGCTGGCTGCTCCGTAGATCTACGCTCGCCTCCCCGGGGGTGTGCGGGTCTGCGCTGATCTCCCGGGAGGCTGGCACGGACCCGACAGCTCCTCAGCGTAGTGGTCCCGCCCCGCTCGGCCTGGCGCTTCTAACATCGCCGCGGGCGGTCCATTGGCTTCGGGGTGTGGTCGCCTTGCCGCACAGCTGCCGCTGGTGGCGGCGCCGCCGGATGGTCCGTTGCCAGCCGCTCTTTGGGAGGGGGTGGGGGGGGGGGGGGTTGGGGGGGCGACGTCGTGCCGCTCCGTGTCGTCGGTGTTCTACGGCCGCTCACGCCCTGTGCGCGCCAGTGTTTGTTTGGCGATGTTGAAAGCTCGCTCTGCCCCATATACCTCGGTCCGAGGGTTCCTTCGGCTTCTTTGCACCTTTTCGCGCTGGCTCGGCGTCTGGATCTGGGCCTTGTATGGCGCCCTCAGGAATGACAGCTGACGGCGCAGTGTGCGGACGGGCCTTTTGTCGCGAGCTGCCTCGCGTCACTTTTCCTTGCATGCCCGTATGCACCCATGCATGCACGTAACGTGTTGACCATGTTGTGAAATTACGGAGACGTCAACATGCCAGCGGTATGACGTGGGACGTATGGGGAGTACCGTAGATGTCGCTATCCTCGATAACTATCCCAGTCGTGGTGCTTTGCTCTCGCTTGCATTCTCGCGTCCAAAACGATTCAAATCGGGAACATAGCGCCGGATCCCTGCGTGATGGCTCCCGCGTCGGCGTTGCCATGGCGGCGGGCTGTGCCGCGGACTCCACCAGCCTGTGCGTGACCCGGAGCCGGGCCGGCGGGCTGCGGGCGCCGGTCGGCGCCGCCCGGTCTGCGCTGCGTGGGTCGCGGGCCGCCGGCGCCGCCCCCCTCAGCGGCCGCCGCCCCCCTCAGCGGCCCCGCTCCCTCAGCGGCCCCGCTCCCTCAGCGGCCCCGCTGTGCTGCAGGATGCGCGAGACTGTGACGGTGGTGGACAGCAGCAGCGGACGCGTTATCCAGCTGAACCCGATGCTGAAGACCCAGGACCACGTGAGTTTTACCTGTGCTTCGTGCTGTGCTGGGCGGCGCTCTGCCCTGCCGGTTGTTTGCGCATGATCGTCGTGGCTCGTACCATGTCAATTATATCAATACTGATTAATATCGTGTCAATTACCCGATGACTCACCATGAGTCTTTTGGTGCCTCTGTGCGCTTTGGTTTCTGTCAGAGCTGGTGGTACACGTGGTATCTCGCGAATCTGCGGATATGATTTGCTGTCAACACCTTTTTGCATACTTGCAGGGAAATGTACTTAATAAATCGCAAAAATAGATGCTTTATGATGTCAATAAGTAATAATAGCCGCCCCGCCACCTGCACGCACGCTTACGCGCACGCACGCACGCACGCACGCCGGCAGGGCTGCGGCGTCCGACCGCCGGCCGCCTCGGCCGTGCGCGCGCCACCCGCCGCAGCGCGGCGCCACCGTCGGCTGGGCGGACTCGACGACCCCAGCGTGCTGCCCAACAGCGACGTGGCGCTGGAGGAGCTGGAGCGCGTGGTGCGCCACCTTCTGGAGACGCACGACGGCCTGCTTCATCTCTCCAGGTGGGTGTCGGCCCGCTCCTGGTGTACAGGACCTGGCCAGGGGCGATGACGCCTCTCCGAGATTAGGGACATCTCTAGGTGACGACGTGGTCGCTCAGTGGTATAGGACCTCTCGAGTTGGGAAAGGCCTGTGCTGTAAGGGCGGTAAGGTCGTTGGTACGGTGCCGTCCTGTGTAAACGTGCGCCGCTCCAGGGCACACCACGCATTTCCGTACGGCCACCTGACTCTCCAGGCTGGTGTGGGATTGGCTGAGTTGACCAGTCCCATCTCCAGGCTGAGTTGACCAGTCCCATCAGCTGGACAAATGGCTGCTACCCGTGCCCGTCTCGCACGCGCCAGTTAGGACCTTGACACCACCTACGTGCTGTGCCAGAACACAGCGCGGCACGTGCGCTCGGAGCACACACCCACGTGTCTGGCCCTGACTGGCTGTGACGTGTCTGACTTACTGGGCGGCCTGTTGGACTGTGACGTGTCTGGCTGATCTGGCAGCCCGCTGGACTGTGACGCGTCTGCCTGACCGGCAGCCTGCTGGACTGTGACGTGTCTGCCTGACCCGGCAGCCTGCTGGACTGTGACGCGTCTGCTGGACCCGGCAGCCTGCTGGACTGTGACGTGTCTGCCTGACCCGGCAGCCTGCTGGACTGTGACGTGCCTGCCTGACCCGGCAGCCACCCTGGACTGTGACGTGCCTTCCTGACCCGCCAGCTTGCTGGACTGTGACGTGTCTGGACTGACCCGGTAGCATGCTGGACTGTGACGTGTCTGACCCGACAGCCTGCTGGACTGTGACGTGCCTGACTTACCGGGCAGCCTGTTGGACTGTGACGTGTCTGCCTGACCCGGCAGCCTGCTGAAATGTGACGTGTCTGACTGACCCGGCAGCCCGCTGGACTGTGACGTGTCTTACTGACCCGGCAGCCTGCTGGATTGTGACGTGTCTGAGTGACCCGGCAGCCTGCTGGACTGTGACGTGTCTTACTGACCCGGCAGCCTGCTGGACTGTGACGTGTCTGACTGACCCGGCAGCCTGCTGGACTGTGACGTGTCTGACTGACCCAGCAGCCCGCTGGACTATGACTTGTCTGACTGACCTGGCAGCCTGTTAGACTGTGATGTGTTTGACTTACCCGGCAGCCTGCTGGACTGTGACGTGTCTGACTGACCCAGCAGCCTGCTGGAATGTGACGTGTCTGCCTGACCCGCTAGCCTGCTGGAATGTGACGTGTCTGACTGACCCAGCAGCCTGTTGGACCGTGACGTGTCTGCCTGACCCGGCAGCCTGCTGGACTGTGACGTGTCTGCCTGACCCGGCAGCCTGCTGGACTGTTACGCGGCCGAGTTCCACGACCCGGCGCTGGCGCGGCTGCGGCTGGACCCGGCCGCCGTCTGCCTGGAGCACCTCATCACCTGCCTGGCCGACGTGCGCGTGGTTGACGCGCGGCCAGGACAAGCTGGTGGTCTGGGCACGTGACTCGCCCGAGGGTGAGTGATACTCCGCGGCCCGCAGGCAGCGGCCTAGCGAGGGGATGGGCTGGGGGTCGGCAGACCGCGGTATGGGCGGGGCGAAGTTGTCTGAAGTTGTCTTGGTTCGGTCTTAGACCCCGGGCTCGGTCGTGGTTCAGGTTTGGCTTCTGTGACCGCAGAGCTGTCGTGGCAGCGCGTTGTGTTTTGGAGTAACCCGTGGTAACCACTTAAATCATGGTGGTTCATAGTTCAGGGTCGGACTGGTCTTGGCCGTGTCATGCAACGAAGGCAGAGATGAAGGAGGAAGCAGAGACGAAGGCAGGCGATGGCGGGAGAGGTCGTAGGTGCCTGATCGGCGGCCCGGTCCGGTGTAGTCACCTCGCGTCGTCGTCGTGCCGGCCCCCGCCGTCTGCTGCCGTCGGCTGCCGTCGGCTCCTCTGACGGCGCGCGGCGCCCGTGCCCCGCAGACGAGCCGGCCCCGGTGAACCCCAGCCTGCAGCAGAAGGTGGTGCTGTTCTCGCGCGAGGTGGTGGACCTGCTGCGGGCGGCGCCCGCGGGCCCGCATGCCTTCAACAGGTGCGTCGGCTACCGAACCGTCCCGCTGGAGGCAGTCCCGTGCTTCGAAGGCAGGCCTGTTTAATGTTGGTCGGGCGCTGTGGGAGCACGACAAAAGTGTGCGGTCAGCCGATTGTTGGTCTAAAAGAGGCAACTATTTAAATGACAGATGGTTGCAAACCGCTTAAATATTGACTCTGGGTGGTGTAGAGTTCATGAATGTCGGACTTTCTCATGGAGTTCACCAGAACGGTCAAACACAATTGAAAAAACGGTCACGGAGTGGACGCATGCGGCCGCACAATACACTCATTCCCCTGTGCATTTATGTGAACTTGAGCATCGCGCATCCGACATGGCGTTTCGTCATCAGCTCCAGCAAGGTCTGGCGCACCGCTGACGGCATAGCGTCCTTGACCTCCTTTTCCAGGTTCATCCCGGCCCTACCACCATCACTTCGGCCGCCAGTGCCGCGTCTCCGACTACGGCTTCACCAGGCTGGCCGACCTGTTCGACGTGTTGCCGCAGATCGTGCAGGTGGGCCACGCTGTGCCGCGCCGGGGTCCTGCGGCAGCGGCGCCGGGGGGATGGGTCACTGCCGGACTTTAGCTCTGACCTCTCGGCGTCGGGTGTTGTGCCGAACCTTGACCTGGTGCTGTGCGGACGCCGCTGGGTAACTGTATTGGTCACCTGGCACTAGGCTGTATGTATCTCCCGCTCCTCCGTAAGTACTGGGTTGGCCCCTGACCAACAAGTTGTTCTCCCCTCTGACACTGCTGCACTGGCCTCCCCTGTCCCCAGGTGCTGTGCTCCCCTCACGCTGCTGTTCTGACCTCCCACTGTCCCCAGGTGCCGTGCTCTCCCCTCGCACGGCTGTACTGACCTCCCCTTGTTTCCAGGTGCTGTACTGTCTCTCCCCTGACACCGCTGTTCTGACCTCCCACTGTCCCCAGGTGCCGTGCTCTCCCCTCGCACGGCTGTACTGACCTCCCCTTGTTTCCAGGTGCTGTACTGTCTCTCCCCTGACACCGCTGTTCTGACCTCCCACTGTCCCCAGGTGCCGTGCTCTCCCCTCGCACGGCTGTACTGACCTCCCCTTGTTTCCAGGTGCTGTACTGTCTCTCCCCTGACACCGCTGTTCTGACCTCCCCACTGTCCCCAGGTGCCGTGCTCTCCCCTCGCCACGGCTGTACTGACCTCCCCTTGTTTCCAGGTGCTGTACTGTCTCTCCCTGACACCGCTGTCTCTGACCTCCCACTGTCCCCAGGTGTTGTGCTCTCCCCTCGCTATGCTGTACTGATCTCCCCCTGTCCCCAGGTGCTGTACTGTCCCCTCGCACTGCTGTATTGACCTCCCTGTCCCCTGATACTGTGCTGTCTTCTCGCACTTGCCTCCCCTGTCCCCAGGAGCACAGCACCTGGGGACAGGGGAGGCAAGTGCTACAGTGCGAGTGCAAGTGCTCCCTCGCCCTGCTGTACTGACCCCCCCCCCCCCCCCCCCCCCCCCTGTCCTCAGGTGCTGTACTTTCCTCTGACACCGCTGTTATGACCTCCCGTGTCACCAGGTGCTGGGCTGTCTCTCCCCTGACACCGCTGTTATGACCTCCCGTGTCACCAGGTGCTGTTCTGTCCCTTCACACTGCTATACTGACCTCCATCCCCGTTCCCAGGTGCTGGGCTGCGGTCACCGTCGCGTCATCACGCTGACGCCGCGCGCCCAGGAGCGCCGCTTCCTCTCGGACCTGCTGCGCGTGCTGAAGGCGCAGCACTCGAAGCAGCTGGCCGTGACGGCCCTGCCGCAGGCCTTCTCCGAGGTCACCGGCCGCGAGTTCACCGTCTGGGACTACGGCGCCACGCGGCTGCACACGCTCCTCTCGACCGTCAACGGTGGGTGACGCGAGCGCTGCCGGGCGCGGCGGACGGCGCGGCACGGGTCCCCGAACCGGCCACGCTCTCGTGACAGCGCGGGGATGGCACGCCATTGGGTGACGTGTCGCTGAGTGATACGTAACTGGGTGTTATGTCACTGGGTGACGCGTCACTGGGTGATACGTCCACTGCGTGACGCGTCACTAGGTGACTCATCACTGGGCGGTGGACACGCTGTTCTCCGCGGTATGGGCGGCGCGTCACTAGTGGTTCATTGGGCACGTTTGCTGTTCGCTGTTGCGGGTGTGGAAGGCAGTCGTCTTTGTGGTGATTTCGTGTGACACTTCACGTCTCCGTGTTGTCGCGTGTCCCACTTAGAAGTGTCTGTGGAACCTCTTTTCCTTGTGTGCAAACAATCTGCTCTTTCGTTTGTATGTTAAAGCGTCCGTTCTTTTGTTGTGCGAAGGTAACCCTTTTCCCCTCAAAAGCTGTGGGTCCTGCCTGCGTGCTCTGGGGCCGTTTCTCCTGCAACGAAAGCTCTTACAATCGCGTGCTTAGTTGTCTGGATATTTCGATGGCAACATTTCCAGCACAACTCGCCTTGATGGGCGATCTTGGCGAAGTTCCCTCGGGCAGTGCCAGTCACCGGTTATCGGTACGGTGATAGTCTCGAGCGGTTTAGCTGTTTCTTACATTACATAATGTCCGGTCTCGTGTGTTTTCGTGCGGCCCTAGGCGACACGGCGGTGCTCCCTGACGCTCGTGTCTCTGTGCGCTCGTGCGGCAGGCGACAGCGTGGTGGTGTACAAACAGGACGGTGATCTGCGCGTGGCCATACCGCGTCGCGAGCAGACGCCCGAGGAGATGCAGAAGACCAAGCACTTCGCCACGGAGGTACGCGCGAGGCCCAGACCCTGGTGGCTGCTCTGTTGAACGTGAAACTAGGGAGATGTGGAAATCCCGACACTTGCTGTCAAACACTTGCTACAATGGAGCAAGTCTTGGTCTCCAAAAGCACCGCCTTTCTAAGCCCCTTTTTCTCTTTTTTCTGTCCTGTTTGTCTAGACAAAAGTGTTGGGAGCGCATGGCGAATAGTCATCGATTCATGGTTTGCATGGAACGGAAAACACATGGCGTCATCTCTTCGTGTGGACAGTTCAAATGACACTTGTTGCGAAGCTACACCACGATTGGACGGGAGATACGTGAACCAAACATTTTGTGTTATGATGTGCTGTGACAAGATCCAACAAAGGGTACCCGGCCCTATATGTGTGATTATTCTACTGGGTCAGGGCGCAGGCTTGGGAGATGCTGACTCAGCAACATGCCGTTTTTTTTTTAAAGCGAGAGTAAGAAAGGCGGGTCAATGCGATACTTTACCGTGGTGATATCATACCCTGACAGACCATACCATATTCTGCCGGTACCACAACATGACGATGTCATGCCCTGACGATACCATGCCCTGACGGACACCATGCCCTGACGATGTCATGCCCTGACGATTACCACACACACTGACATATCATGCCCTGCGATACCATGCCCTGACGACACCATGCCCTGACGATGTCATGCCCTGACGATACCACACACACTGACATATCATGCCCTGACGACACCATGCCCTGACGATTGTCATGCCCTGACGATACCACACACACTGACATATCATGCCCTGGACGACACCATGCCCTGACGACCACCATGCCCTGACGATGTCATGCCCTGACGACACCATGCCCTGACGACACCATGCCCTGACGATGGTCATGCCCCTGACGCATACACACACACTGACATATCATGCCCTGACGACACCATGCCCTGACGACACCATGCCCTGACGATGTCATGCCCTGACGATACCACACACACTGACATATCATGCCCTGACGACACCATGCCCTGACGACACCATGCCCTGACGATGTCATGCCCTGACGACACCATGCCCTGACGACACCATGCCCTGACGATGTCATGCCCTGACGAACCACACACACTGACATATCATGCCCTGACGACACCATGCCCTGACGACACCATGCCTGACGATGTCATGCCCTGACGATACCACCACACACTGACATATCATGCCCTGACGACACATGCCCTGACGACACCATGCCCTGACGATACCATGCCCTGACGATACCACACA